TATGTTTATATTTTTATATTTATATGTATATTCATATTCATATTTATATTTATATTTCTATTTATAGTTATATTGATATTTATTTAATTATTTATTATTCATACATACATATACTATACATACATATATACATACATATACATACCTATACTTTCCTGTACATACCTATACATATTCACATAGATACATACCTACGTGCATACATACATACATACATACATACATACATACATACATACACGTGTTGTGTATATTTGTGTATCTGTATGTGTATGTACTCTTATAGAGAGACGGGGGCATAAATCGAGAAGCGCCATTCCCTGCAGGTGAGCTTCGTTCCTCAAAACGGCTTCCTTCCAAAGGAGGACGCCCGTGGGCTGCTTCGTAAGTGAGAATGCCCTTGCAAAAACATCTCCAAACCTCAAAATCTCGCTATTCCGGAGCCCAAAAATTCAATTGAGCGACATGAACATGAAGGCCGGTTCTTTTTCCTCACGAGCATGACGCTTTACATTGGAACTTTGTGCAGTCATGTCTTCTACAGATAGAGTTGGATGTTCTCGTCCAGCAGACGACATCTCAGCGACAAACCCCAAGCCGTAAACCCAAGCCCTATTTTGCCAGCTCCATAATCGTGGACTACTTCAGCGGCAGGTGTCGGCTCTACACTAGGGTTGCCTTGACAGCTAACTTGTGGTGGATAGCTTCGCTTAAGTAAAGGATACCAACAGTTCGAAACTAAACCAGAGCAGCCTCTGCCGCATCCTTGCTTTGAGACACACCGCAATCCAAAACAGATCGAAGAACGATGTGGGTGTTTGATGTACCCTGTTGCGAACCGAGCCGTTGCATGATGATTTCTTGACTTATAGCCGTAGTACTTAGAGCATTGTCCCGGCAATGAGAAACGAAGCTTTAGATTTGTGTCAGACTCTTGACCCGAACCACTCAAAGGCCCAAGCTCTCAAACCCCTCGCTAAGTCCCTGAACCCTCACCCCTTTACGGTTTCCTATGGGGATTCCTTTCAGGGTTCGTATAAAGGGTTCCATTGAGGGTTCCTCTACGGGTTCCTACAAAGGTCCTTGACGGGTTCGTGTAAGGGTTCCATTAAGGTTTCCTTTAAGGGTTCCTGTAGGGGCTTGCTGGTAGAAGACTGAGCCCGATAGTTTGCGACCCGACTGACGTCCCCTGGAAAAGGCCGAGCCAAAGCCATCAATCTCGTTTACTCATGACAAGGCCCATGTAAACAAATGAATAAGGAACCAAACAAGTACAAGTACATAGGCATACACATGATATCACATGAATATATATATATATATA